AGATTGATGACCTTCCGTGACTGTCGAATCTGCTCCTCGTTGCACGGCTCGGCGAGCAGGGATTGCTCAAGCCCAAGCTCCATGCACATCGCGCTAAACCGAATTTGCCAGGTAGAGTAGTTGTTGAGATCCAGCGACTCATCAAGCTTGTCCTTAACCATTGTCGATGAGGGATAGAAATAACAATTTGGCGATAACTGTCGGCGTTAAGCGGGGCTCATAACCTATTGAAGAATTGGCGACGGTGACGGCTAACGCTGATTGTTATTTCGGAAGGATTACCGGTGGCGAAGATATTTAGCACGATAAATTGTTACAAGTAATGTAAAGAGTATTGTTAGCGTTCGGCAGGACTTGAGGAGATTCCTGGTAGGAATACCGATCGTTGTGAGATAAACTAATAGGCGCAGTCACCGCCCTAAATACCGGCGCTAGCGGAAAACTCGTACATTCCGCGATCTAACTGCACGTACATTCCGCGATCTCACTGCGCCGTCCAGACGGTGCCCTAATGTCTATCACTTAGCTACCGGATATGCATCGGTAGCCCCATAAGGTTCTGGGGTAAGATTTCCCCATTAGTCAGGTGCAGACCCGGGGTCAAATCCCCTGGTCGACAACCACACGAGTTGGGAGAGGACCGTTTCCTCAACAGCTCGTTGCAGGCCTTCATAGCCGCCAGTAATTTCCAGCCTGAAGACCCATGGATTCGTTCTCGCACGACGATGCTATTGCCTTCCTGTCCGAGCTAGGGGTAGAGGCCCTCTCGAGTCCGGGCCTTGCGGAAAACGTCCAGCTGTCTGTCAGTCGCAACGCCAGCCAATTCAAAGGGCAGCGTCTCTTAGGTCAGCCGCGCGGCCCACCTACCGCATCCCCCGAAGACCTGCCAGCCCCCAAACGGCCCGCACCGGGCCCCGGTCCTGCCCGTCCGTTCCTGCCCGTCGGCCAAACCTGGACTCCGCACCAGTTCCGGCAAGTCTCACCAGCATCGGAAACAACCAGCCCGCCCCGCGGTGGCGCCAGAAGGTGTGAAGGTTGAGACCCCGGGTGAATTCTGGGAAGATAAAGGGGAGTTTTCTAGTTCTACTTTCGACAACGCCTTGGGATCTCGGTCATCTCCAGTAGCGGGTCCACCTCTCGTGCCACCCCAGATGAGGGGACGGACACCTCTCGAGCAAGAAAGGCGCTTGGAAGGCTTGGGTTGTGAACGCGCTGGTCATCTCGTGGATAACGTCGGGTTTCCCTCTTCGTTGGGTCTCCAGCCCTCCCCCCCAGCACTCTGGCCGCAATCATGCTTCGGCAACCGCCAACGCCGCGTTCGTGGACAAAGCCGTAGCAGATCTAGTGGCTGTTAAGACCAGCAAAGCGCCGGACCCCCGTTGGGTCCTATTACTGTGGCTACCATTCACTGGTATATGAGTGTCGGTCATTTCCAACACCCCCCCGTGAGCGACACTCTCTCGCTACGGGCCTACCCGTGCCTCATCCCGGTCTCCCATTCTCTGGGCAACAGCCAGTGGGTATCGATCCGGCGATCTCTCGGCAGCGCAATGCGCCATTCGGGGCTCATAACCTGTTGAAGAATTGTCGACGGTGACAGCTAACGCTAATTGTTATTCCGGAAGGATTGCCGGTGGCGAAGATATTTAGCACGATAAACTGTTACAAGTAATGTAAAGAGTATTGTTAGCGTTCGGCAGGACTTGAGGAGATTCCTGGTAGGAATACCGATCGTTGTGAGATAAACAAATAGGCGCAGTCACCGCCCTAAATACCGGCGCTAGCGGAAAACTCGTACATTCCGCGATCTAACTGCACGTACATTCCGCGATCTCACTGCGCCGTCCAGACGGTGCCCTAATGTCTATCACTTAGCTACCGGATATGCATCGGTAGCCCCATAAGGTTCTGGGGTAAGTCTTCCCCATTAGTCAGGCGCAGACCCGGGGTCAAATCCCCTGGTCGACAACCACACGAGTTGGGAGAGGACCGTTTCCTCAACACGGGCCGTATCCCAACGAGTACCAAGTTCATCTGCACACTTCACACAAGGCCCATAGCATCTCGGCAACGTTTGAACTTCACCTCGCCCAGAGCCTTCGTTAGTACATCCGCAACCATCCACTCTGTAGGGCAGTATTCCAACTGCACCTCACCGCTATTCACCCTCTCACGCACTATGTGATGCTGCACGTCGATGTGCTTCGACCGAGCAGACGTAATCGGGTTGTTTCCCAAGCTAAGCGCCCCCTGGGAATCTATTTGAATCTTGATAGCGCTCTCAGGCAAACCCAAATCAACCATCAGCTTGCGAAGCCACAAAGCCTCACGAACAGCTGCCGCTGTCGCTTGATATTCGGCCTCCACCGACGAAGTCGCCACAGTACGTTGAAGTTGGCTGCTCCAGCTAATCACAGCCCCATTAAGAGTGAAAACGTAGCCAGACGTAGAACGCCGCGTAACTGGGTCTCCTGCCCAGTCCGAATCACTGTACCCGGACATAGCAACGTCGCCAACACCCCCAAAACGCAATCCTAGTTCGCGAGTCCCCGCCAGGTAACGCAGAACGCCAGTTGCTAAGTTCATGGCAGTCTTCGTGG